TATATGTCTGATAAAAGACTTGTTCAAAGTCTTGTCCCTGAAGTTCAAATAACCTCTTACAATTCAGTTAAACATCCATCTATGGAAGACAGGCGTGGTGGCACACACCATCCTCTGGAAGGCTGAGAAGGAGGATGGCACGTTTGAGCTCAGCCTGGGCAATTTAGTGACTTTGCAAGAGTCTGTCTCAAAAAAAAGTGGTTGACAGATAGCTCAGTGCAAAAACCCGGAGTTCAATGTCCTGGTACCACAAAGGAAAGAAAGGAGAGGGAAGGAAACCGTGTAACTGCTGTCCATCGGCTCCAGTATGAAGGAATCTGTGAAAGGATTATGCTAAATCAAAAGAAGATAGTCACAATTGCCCACAGGTCATATAATTGTGTTTATGTGAAATGCCCAGAATAGGCAAATCCATGGAGAAAGAAAGTAGCTTAGTGGTTACCAGGGCTGGGGAGCGGGCAGGACTGGGGAGGAGTTGGGGACAGGCTGCTAATGGACAGAGGATCTTTTTAGGGTGACAAAAATGTTCTAAAATCAACTGTGCCAAATCTGCAGGTATACAAAACACACCAGGTATCTGAACGATTTAAACTGTCGAGTTGCTTGACTTGTGAATTATATCTCAATAAAGCATTTTTGAGGGCATGCCGGTTATAACACAATACATTTAGAGATTGTACCAAACTGAATCATGAGGATGCCATGTCCCCTTCACACAGTAAAGCCTGCATATCCTGACAAGGGCAGACCCAGTACCAACTAACACCCAGGGAATCCAGAGAGACGGAAAGCCATCCCAGCTGCTGACTATGACCTGCAACTCCTCTGTCTTTGTTCGTTTGTTTCATTTTTTGTTTTTTGAGTCAGGGTCTTGATATACAGTTCAGTCTGACCTTAAATAAACCAAATAGTCCAGGTTGGCTTTTTGTGGTGATCCTCCTGCCTCAGCCTCCTAAGTTCTGGGATGATGGGTGTGCAACGCCATGCTTGGCCAACTCCTCTAATACTTCCTCCACTCCTTTTACAGACGATAGGTGGATTTGACACTGCAGAAACTGAACATTTTACCTTCGGTTCAACTCAGGAAGTGTAGAGTGCAGAAGGGGACCAAAGACTCTGATTCCAAAACTAAATTCTCAAATTTGACCCTCAAAAATTCTTAATTCTGTACAAAGTCTCAGACATACCAAAAATCAGAAAGAGCAATACATTGCACACCTCTGGGACTTGGCCCAACTTATGAGATCAAACCATCCTTGCCACCCAAATCTTTATCATCTGCCCCCCAATTCTATTCCTTTCTGCCTGGCACCAGCCTTGAAATCAATGTTTATGGCTGTCACATTTTTACTAATATTTATCTTCAAGCAATACATCACTTTACCTGCTCCTGATCTTTAAAGTAACAGCGAAACCAGGTATGTTGGTGCATGTCTGTAATTCCAGCACTGTAGGAAGCAGAGGCAGGAAGATCATAAATTTGTGCACAACTTAGCAACTTAATGAGATCCCATCTCAAAATAAAAAATGACCTGGGTTCAATCCTCAGTACTGCAAAAACATAACAATAAAAAACCAGTAGTATCCTATGAAGTGTATTTTTCTGAGGCTTTTTGTTCCCTTAATTTTTTATTTTTATTCATATGTATGTGGGATTTTATTTCTCATATGTATGTAGGGATTGAATTTAGGGCCTCCCAGAGCTACATCCCCACCTCCCCAACCTTTTTCTTTTTTTTAAATTTGAGGCAAGATCTTGCTAACTTCCCCACGTTGGCCTTGACCTTACCATCTTCTTGCCTCTGCTTCCAGACTGGCTGGGGTTCATTCTGCACCACTGCAGGAATCTCTGGGATTACTGCAGGCTCTAGGATTAGTTTCCTCGTTCAATGTTGGTGAGATTCAGAACGCTCCTTTTCATTGCTGGATGGTATTAGTTCTCCACTGCACAGAGACAGCAGTTTCTCTTTTGGCTTTTTTTCTGTTCTATTTTTCATTAATTAATTTTTGCCATTACCAGTACTGCTGCTATGAACCAGAATCAAAACCAGCCATGTTCTGGGCTCAGTGAGGCAGGAGGAGCTTGAGTTTGAGGCTAGCCTGTGCTACACAGTGAGACTACTTTAACCCCATTCAAAAGACAAACAAAAGTCAACGATGCAGCAGCTTCAAATCTCTCCCTGACTGTGACCTTCTGCTTCCGTTGTCCCATCACCTTCTCTGACTCTGACCCTCATTCTAAGGGCACTTGCGATAATACCCGATCCTTCTGAACCATCCAGGATCATCTCTCTCCACCTTGGGATCTTTAATGGCATCTGCAAAGTCTCTTTTACCATTCACGGTTACATAGTCAGAGGACCAGAGTTGAGATGTGCTTCTTCTCCTGGGGGTCCTATTTGGTCTACTGTGAGGGAGTGATGGGAGCGTCTTTGAGTCATTCCATTGTCAAACTGCTTTCCAAAGTCAGTGAATTCTCTCTCCCACCAGGAGTGCTTAGGTGCTCCCTGGCTCACTCCATTCTCACCAACACTTGGTGTTATCTGATTTTTTAACGTTTCCCAACCTGATAGCTATGAAATGCCTGGACTCTGGCAGCTATGTGGCCAAAAGGGAGGGTAACCAGTGGTGTGGAATGTGAAAAGGAGGGGCCCTTGCAGTCAGAAGGTGGTTGATGAAGCCCGGCCTGGTGACACACACCTGTGTCCGCAGCACTCTAGGAGGCTGAGGCAAGAAGACTGCAAATTCTAACCCAGCCTGGGCAATTTAGGGAGACCCTGTCTCAAATTTTAATAAAAAGGGCTGGGGATGTTTTTAGGTTTTTTTCAGCACAGTTGAGAGATAAAGAGAGAGAAATAGACAAGAAGGCCTTTATTGAGGGCACCAGAGGGCTTCAGAAAGAGTGCAAGCTTCCTCTGGCAAGAACAAAGAAGTGAAAGAACTTTTGTCAGGTCTGGTTGGGGGAGGAGTTTGGGAGGAGGCACAATGACATATCAACAATTAATTTAAGAAGCATCTGTGTGCACAAAAAGGAAACACAAGATTTACAGGGGGCTGCAGGAAGACGAAGAAGGAGGAGGAGGAAGAAGAAGAAGAGGAGAAGAAGAAGGTGAGAAGGTGTTTTGGCTTCTCTGCAGTGCTGAACCATCGCCATGATGATCTGGTGAACCGTATGTGGGCCAAAATCCTTTATTAATTGACTGAAGGTACTTCTCAAGGCCCGGTGCCATGTTGGGTAGACGTCATGTTAGAGATAGCTAAGCCCCAGGCTGGCAGACTCTATCAAGAAGACCCAGGGTTCAAGCCCAAGTACAGGAAAAGCAAAAAGGAAAGGGGGTTGATGAGCTGGGCTAAGAGAGATGTCCTTGGAGTGACAGGAAAGGGGATGACTTGAGACTAAATCAAGAAGAGTGCTGAGGAACCGGACACAGGAAGTACAGATTATCCAGGGTACTTTAAAAATATGGGTGGAAAGTTTCAGTCTACATGCGGAAATTGTAGATGAAAGAGACACAGAAAGAGACAGCAGTGGTGGAGGAGAAGGACATAGAGCTGCAGTGCGCAGGGCTATCTGGCGGGATGCCCTGAGGGGTGGGGCAGGAGTGGTAACAACTTCTAACTAGATTGGGCAAGCCAGTGAGACCCTATCTCAAAATAATAGTAATAATAATAATAATAATAATGATGATGATGATGATGATGAAAGGGCTGGGGTGTAGCTCAGTGCAAAGGCCCTGGGTTCAGTCTCTAGTACTGAAAAAAATTCAGTCATTGGGGCTGGGGATTTAGCTCAGCAGCATAAGCACCTGCCTTGCAAACAGGCAGTCGTGAGTTGGATCCCCGGTACCGATAAAAAGGAAAAAAACAAAAAACAAAAAAATTCAGTCATCATAAAAATATGGACAAAGTCTGGCATGCCTATCTTGCCTCTTCTCTCGAATATCTGCACCTGTGTGCTCCTGTGTGCTCCTCCTGGACTGAGAGTCTTTTGTTAGAATCTTCTTTTTGCCTTTGGACTTCTCTTTGGTTCCATTATTTGCTCCTTAAATTTCAGAACTGCTATTCACCTACTGAAACTGAAATTAAAGTCACCTCCTCTGGGAAGCCTTTCGGATTACACTGGTCCAACCCCTGTGCTTTTGTAGTAATGTGGTCAGGAGAACAAGGGCACTCACTACTGTTTGATGTCACACGAGCAACTTAATCTGTGAGTGTCTGATTTCCTGCAGTGTGGACAGTGGCACCGGCCGGCGTAGGTGTGAAGACAGGGTACATACCTTGTGTTACATGGGCCTGGAAGCCATCATCCACAGAGCCTGTGTCATGGTCCTGCCCGGAAAAGCAATGGGCTCTGTGACACGGCGCAAGGTGAAGAACTGGGACTGCCTGTAATTTCGGGGAGGTGACATCATCTCCAAGATATTTCCTTGTCTCGAAAATAACGAAAACCCGTATCAGATACCCACGCACCTATCCATCAGGTATTGAAGGTCCTTCCCACCTTAGATCTTGGAGGGGGGGGTGTTGATACGTATCCCAGTCCTCCTGCCTCAGCCCCCCTTGTTTAGGGACGTTGGGCGTGGCAGTATTACCTCCCGTAGGTACCCATGTGTGATCATCCCATTTTACAGATGAGAAAAGTGAGGTTTGGGGAGGATGAGTGACGTCCAATTTAGCAGGCATCGCCCGGCAAAACTCAGAAAATTATGTGAATCTGAATGCAGAAACGCAAAATAACCCTACATGTTATAGACAACTGGCGGTGGGGGAACAGCCCGGGCCTGGGGGCGTGGTGAATCAGGCCGTGGAGTAGAGAGAGGCAGCCTGGGATCTCAGGGCGGGTCGGTCTCCTGGCGACCTAGTGGTGCTCCAGGAACCCCAGAAGCCGCGGGGTGCGGCCCGCCCCCTCGTGCCCTCCCCCCAGCCCCCGAGCCGCGGCCCCTTTAAGAGCGGGCGGGGCGCCCCCTGGCGGCGGAGCGGCGCGCGCGCGCGGCCCGATCCCGAGCCGGATCCCGGATCCCGGAGCGGAGCCGAGCCGGACGGAGCGGGGCCGAGCGGGCCGAGCCAGCAGCCGAGCTGGGGGCGCGGGCGGGCGGCATGTACCGGGCCCGGGCGGCGCGGGCGGGGCCGGAGCCCGGCAGCCCGGGGCGCTTTGGGATCCTCAGCACCGGGCAGCTGCGAGACCTGCTTCAGGATGAGCCCAAGCTGGACCGGATCGTGCGGCTCAGCAGGAAGGTAGCGCGGGGGGCGCGGGGGGCGCGGGGGGCGCGGGCCGGGCCGCGGCCTGCGGGACGGGCCGAGCCACGAGGGGCGCCAGGCGGCCGCCGAGCGGGCCCCGCCGAGCCCGGGGAGGGGCCGGGCGGCCGGGAGGGGCCGGGGGTACCGCGCACCCCGGGTGGCCGCGAGGCGTGTCCCCGCGGTGCCCCGGAGGAGGTGTGTTCCGGGCCCCGGGGCGGCCGGGCGGCGGGGGCCCTGGCTGCACACCCGCGTTCGTGGGGTCAGAAAGGGGAGGAGGCTTCCGAGGGCAGAACTGGGGGCCTCTTTGACACTAGGGGGCTGTAGTGGGGGGCGATCTGCGCATTCTGGGGGCGCAGGGGGGCTTTGTGCCCGACGCCAGGAGGGGAGGTGTGCTTCGTAGGCCACCATAGAGAAAGTTGCTCTTCCGCGGGAGATAGGCCCAGGCTGGGCGTCTTGGGGGGCAGAGGGGAAAGTGTGCGCCGGAGGGCGGCGGATGAGGAGGGGCAGGAGGCGCCGACTGGAGACAGATGGAGGGGAACGCCTTGTCCGGGCAGGAGCGAGGCTCGGCCCTCTAGAAACAGGGGGGCAGGCTTGTGCGGGGCCGGGCCACCTCCTGCAAGAGGAGGAGAGCAGGAAGCAGGTGCTGGAGCTCAGGGTGGAAAAGGGGGTGTGTAGTGGTTGGGGTGTGGGATTCCATTGGAGGGCAGAGGAGGGGCTGTGAAGGGAAGACAAGGCCATCAGCGGGGGTACCTCGGAGGGACGGGGTACAGAGGGCACTCCAGAGAGTCGGAGTGGGGGGCCGGAAGGTTCGGAGCACACACACCTGAGGAGGAAGCAGACAAAGGCCTGGAAAGAGAGGGAAGCTGCTCAAGCATGGAAAAATAGAGCAGCAGAGGGAGGGGACTCCTCGGGGACCTGAGCAGACACATTAATTGAAAAATTAAAAATTAACTAACATTTGTAGATGCCTTCATAGTTTTGCTCACTTAAGTCTCTCTACAACCCCATAAGGTAGGCGGTTTTTAAACTTGCATTGTAGAAAAGGAAACTGAGGCTGGAGACAGAGCTCAGGGCAAAGCCTGGTGGTGGCCAATAGCAGTCCCTCCACCTGTTGGGTCCACCACCCAGAGGGTAGGGGCCTTGCAGGTGTCTTTGGCCCAGCAAGTGGACACCATTGTCCAGGTGGCACCAACACCCTGGGTGGTGGTGAGCTGAGCCCAGGTGAGCTCTTGTGCCCCAGTTCCAGGGCCTGCAGCTGGAGCGAGAGGCCTGCCTGGCCTCCAACTACGCCCTGGCCAAGGAGAATCTGGCACTGCGGCCCCGCCTGGAGATGGGCCGGGCTGCCCTGGCCATCAAGTACCAGGAGCTCCGAGAGGTGGCTGAGAACTGTGCGGACAAGCTGCAGCGACTGGGTGAGGGACATCGGGGACAGCCTCCAGACTGGGGTGCACTTGGCCTTAACAAATGCCAGGCTTTGATGGGAGGATTGGGGCGAGCTGTTCCTGGGTAGACTTGAGGGGTGTCACTCCTGGAAATGGTGTAGCAAGGTGCTTGGTGGGTGAGCAGGGCTGGATGGAGAGATCTGAGGTCCTGGGCCTGACACTCAGGCGTCTCCCTGGGGCCCTCAATATTCAAAGGCCCTGCCTTCTCTTCTGGAACTCTTGGAGGGGAGGAATACTCAAACTGGTCCTATGGACCTTGTATAGGTGGGGAAACTGAGGCTCCAGAGAAGGAAAGGGAAGTGTACAGTCCCACAAAGTCAGAGCCCTTAGGCTGTCCCGCCTGTCACTTTGTTTCTCTGTGGCCCTCAGAAGAGACCATGCATCGCTGGAGTCCCCACTGTGCCCTGGGCTGGCTGCAGGCTGAGCTGGAAGAGGCTGAACAGGAGGCTGAGGTGAGGGGAGAGCTGGCTGGGGCCAGGGACTAGAAGCGAGACTCCTCCTGTCCCTCTCTAGGGTTCACTGCAAGGCAGGCTGGGAGCTTCTTCAGGAGCCCGGCGTTGCTGGCCACACTTTCGTCAGCCCTGGACAGCAGGGCATATGGTCCCCACGGTCCCCACCAGTGGCCCCCTGTGACTGTCCCAGGGTGTCAGAGGCTGAGCCTGTACAGGCTCTGAGGCTGGCTTTTCTCTTGTGCTGGGTTGGAAGTGCAGCTCCCTGTGAGTTGAAGGGGTTGGGGAAGAGGGGACCCAGGCTGTGTTTGGGTGTCTTGATGAGACTCATCTGTTCCCACCCAGGGTGCTTGCTGCCTGCTGTCTGACCCAGCAGGTGTGGTGCTGGTGCCCTCACTCTGGAAGTAAGGGCAGTGGTCCACAGTCTCTCTGCCAGGCTGGTCCCAAAGGTGGGAGAGGGGAGTCTCTGGTTGCTCTTATCACACTCACCATCCCCTTCCTGCCCACCCAGGAACACATGGAGCAGCTGCTGCTGGGCGAGCAGAGCCTGGAGGCCTTTCTGCCCGCCTTCCAGCGTGGTCGGGCTCTGGCCCACTTGAGGCGGACCCAGGCTGAGAAACTGCAGGAGCTGCTGCGGCGCAGGGAGCGCTCTGCCCAGCCAGCCCCTACCGCTGCTGCTGATGCCCCCAAACCCTTCCCGGCTGCAGCCGTTCTCCACACTGGGGCTGCCTGGGGGCCACCTGCTGCACCCCGGAGCCTGCCCCCCTTGGACTCCCGCCCAGTGCCCCCACTGAAGAGCTCCCCTGGGTGCCCCCTTGGCCCAGCACCTCTGCTGAGCCCCAGGCCCTCTCAGCCAGAGCCCCCCCACCGGTAGGATCCAGGGTGTGGCCCCCCAGTGGGGGGTCCAGACAAACTTGATTGGAGGCTCCTCCTCCTCCCCCACTGCCTGGGTGGGGGGAGGGGCAGGCCCCTCCCCCTGGCCTCAGGCAGGCCCTGGCCCTGGAGGCTGAGTGGGGAGGAGGTCACCTGGAGGAGGCCCCCAGAGGGCTGGGGTGGGTGGGCAGGGTGCTGGGCCCTGGCACAAAGGAACCTCTGCCTTTGTTGTTTCCCCAGCTGGGGCCTCCAGGGTGATGGGCCAGCCTCATGCAAGAACTTTACTCACCATGGGGCCTGGGAAGGTACCGCTTACCTGAGGGCTCTGCCCAGGGTGCTGTTGCACCCTGCTGCTCCACTGAGTTTGCACAATGCCAAGACCAACAGGAGTGTTGTCCATCATGTCCTGAGCCTACTTTTCCCCCAGCTCTGGAGCCACTGCCTAGCAGCCAGGCGGCCAGGCCTTCAGCTGTGGGGCCAGGGATGCCGTTCCCCTGGGGCTGTTCTGGGTCCCTCTCCTGCTCCAGCCCCTGGAGCAGGGTAGGCCAGGGGTGCATCTGACCTGCACAGGCGAGAGTGGGCCATCCCCAGGAAAGACCATTCTGTATTTTTCTGTCCCTGTCTCCTTAGAATGGAACCTTTTTGAGGGCAGGTCCTTGTCTTTGTATGTTCTGTCCCCAGCCCCGCCTCCTAGGGGCCGTCAATAAATGTGATGATGAAGATGATGCTGCCCGCCTCCTCTCTGCCCCATCTACCAGCCTCCACTTCTGCTCCTCAGCTTCCTGCTCTTGAGGCCTTCCTCCCTCGCCCAGCCAAAGCCCAGCTGTCTTGCACGTCCTGTACCACTGCTGCCTCTTCCAAGATGCCTCCAACTACCACCCATGAAAGCTTTTCTTAAACCTTACCTCCCAGCACTTCTGATCCAACGCATCTGCTCTGTGGCTTTACCTGTCCCCACCTTCTTCCAGGTTGCAGGATCAGGCTGCTGCCTACTTCCTCTCTGGTCTGCCACAGGGCAGCCCCACTGGAGGCTGTGTGTAGGGCTGAAGGATCTGTCCTCAGCTTGCTAGGTGGCCAGCTTGGCTGGTGAGTACAGAGCAATGGCACGAGGGATGTGCTTAGGTTTAAGGAGTAAGATTTGGCAGAGGCATGGAATCTCCTGCAGAGGGAGATGTGCAGGAGTGCTGGAGAAGCCCACCAGCCTAGTGTGGGCTCAGTGTGTGAGCAGAGCTGGCTGCTTGACAGGATGGTGAGAGGCTTGGGCCGCTGCTGAAGGGACCAGTCTGTGTGAGCTCTGGCATCCTTGAGCCTTCGCTTGTCCCAGGATGGCACAGTTAAAATGCCAAGAACCCACTTCACTTGAGCCCACCTTGGCCTTGGTTCTCCTGCCCTCCTTATTGTTTGCATTTGAGCAACTGGAGGCTGGGGGAATTTAGGTGATTCCTAGATGCAGGTGACTCACTAGGGAACAAGGGGTGACCCTGAGGTACCAGGCCTCCCCTTCCTGGTCAAAGCTTCCAGGTGTTTGTGACCTCAAGGAGAAAGGGGGCCAAAGTTGGTCAAATCTGAGTCTCTACTCCTGTGATGCACACAGCGGCATCCAGAAGGAAGGCTCCAGTGTAGGACCCCAGAGCGGGTGAGAAACAGAGGAAGGCAAGACCCAACCAAGAGAGGTGGGTACTGGATGGGGTCCTTCAGAAAGCCTCCTGCATATCCCACCTTCCACAGAAGCTCGGGCCCTGAGTTCAGCTCAGCCTGAGAAAGACCTGCCTGAAGCCAGTGGGGATGCCATGGGCCTAATTCTGGGAAGAATGGGAAAGGCCTGGAATTTTTGGGAAAATTTTCCTTAAGTCCCTTGCTTAAAGGTGCATGGAATGCTCTGGAATGTTCTAGAAGGTAACAGCCTGGGCCCTTAATCCTGCCTGAAACCTGCTTCCAGGTTCTGAGGCCTCAGGAAATGATCCTCTGTGGCAGAAAAAACTTGAGGGTACACATGCAGGCCCAAGCAAAACTTCTAGGACAGTCCACTTGTGCTTTTAGAAACAGATCATCCCCTAAATAACAAAACTTTCATCTCTTTTGGATTGAAAATTTTTGTCACTCAAGAAAGTTCCTCAGGCCGGGCATGATGGTGCACACCATAATTCCAGCACTCAGGAGACTGAGACAGGAGGATTACTGTGAGTGTGAGGCCATCCTGGGCTACAAAGTGAGTTCAGGGCCAGTCTGAACTGCATAGTGAAACCCTGTCTCAACGAGACAAAAAACAAAACAATAACAAAACAAGTTTTGCGTATGTCTCTGTTTGTGAATCACTAGCTTCCCTATATTTTCTTAAACTTCTCCCCTTGTTTTCCAAATACGAAACATTAAATGTGCTTTGTTTTACCCACCAAGGCTCACTGGGCTGAGCAGGCCTGAGCTGGTGTAGTTCTTGAGCCTGGTAGAGAGCTTGCCCTTGACCCCAGAGCAAGAGAACTGAATGGTTTCCAAGAGAACAAGTTGGTTGGACTTGCTGCAGTTATCTCCACTTATACAAGGATTTTACACAAAGCCTCGCTGAAGGAATTGGTATTATGACGCCAAAGGGCCTCTCTGGTTGGCCTAAGACCTTGCCCTTGCTATAGGCCTCTCAAAAGATGCTTCTTGCCCCACAATGAAAATAAGATTTATACTCAGAGGCTGGGGATGTGGCTCAGCGGTAGAGCACTTTCTTACCAGTGCAAGGGCCTGAGCTCTGTCCCAGCACTGCCCCCGCTAGCCCCCACAAGGATTTACACTCACCCCTTCGGTGTGAGGTGTAGGTTTTCACATCAACACCTCCATACCCTAAGGATGTCACCTCCAATGCCCTAAGGGCCAGGAAGGTGACAGAGGGGCTACGCAGTTGGTTTCCACAGAGAAATGCTTCCATCCCCATTATTTTAGAAATGCAGGGTCCTTACTGTTGGTTTTCACCCTTGATAGACATGAGATAGAGTATTTTTGTACTAAGGAACATGGCATAAGTGTGTGTGGCCTGAGGCCCTTAACAAGTTGCTGCTGGAAGTGTCACAACTGGGGAGCAATGTGTCACCTTTAGGGAGAATGCTGTTCAGCTTTTCACATGGTGCTAGGGCAGTTCCCTGAGCTTGGTGGTGGTGGCACATTTTCCCATTTTTTGAGAAGTCGGCAATCTGTGTTTTCTTTTTTTTTTTTTTTTTTTTTTTTTTGTCTTTTTCTTTTTTATCAGTACTAGGGATCGAACTCATGACTGCCTGCTTGCAAGGCAGGCGCTTATGCCTCTGAGCTAAATCCCCAGCCCTAGCAACTGTGTTTTCAATGTTGGTTTAAAGGTTATTTTAGGGGCCAGGGATTTAGCTCCGCAGTGTAAGCACCTGCCTGACAAGTGCAAGGTCATGAGTTTGATCCCCAGTACCAAAAAAAAAAAAGTTATTTCAGGCTGGGTGTGATGGTACATGCCAGTAATCCTGGCACTAGCTTAGGCGGGAGAATTGCTGTGAGTTCAAGGCCAGCCTGAACCACCAAATGAGTTCAAGGGCAACCTGAACTACACAGAGAGACCCTATCTCAAAAAAAAAAAAGTTATTTTAGGACACTGTGCAGGTCAAACACTATTTGCAGTTTGGCTGTGGGCTGTGAACCACGCATGGGTCTGTCTGCTCTTGGTCATCCTCCAACAGGCCTTCCAGTGTCTACTGCAGTCCCCTCCCAGGGGGGGCTAAGGGTGTAACAACTAGAAGGGACAAAGGCAGGACGGGGGAGGGATATACTGCCTACTTCAAGACTAGTGACATGAATCCAGGCTGAGGCAGCTCGGGAGACAGTGGAGAGAGGGGGAGACTCCTAGGGACACTGTGACCTCCAGACAGTGCTGAGAAGTGTGCACAGTGAGGGCAGAGTTCCCACTGTCAGCAAGGCCACGTAGTCCAGACTCCAAGCTCATGGTGCTTTGAAGCCACAGAGGTGGTTCGGCAGGCTGGAGCTGAGGGCTGAGCTAGCCAGGGCAAGGCAGGTCTTCCCCAGTATTGCTCGCAGCATGGGACTTCATCACAAAGTCGGCGAGGACCAGGATAGAGCCTACTCTTCTGAGCCCTGAATTCAAGTGTCCCTTCTCAGCCTGTTTTCCCAGGGTTGGGGACCTAGGAAGCCCAAAGGCTCAAAACACATTCCTCTTCCATTGGTAGCCGCTTGCTTAGTGCCTCTGAGGGCCTCTGGGGTCACTCAAGACCTGCTGGCAACTCCTTAGCCTGAAGAAGGCTATTCTCAATTGTCCTAGCTTGTACTGAGACCATGACAGAAGCCAAAGGTGTACCTAGTGAATGACTGCCAGAAACTTGGAAAGCAAGTGGTAAGACATCCTGATCCTCAACACGGGTCTGAAAAGGGTCATTTATCCACAGCATTAAGTAAAAGACCCGTGAGAGGACAAAGCAGTTTGCCTCAGGAGGAACGATGTCCTGATCCAAGTCCAAAGCCAGTACCACAATGGCCAGGCATGTACACCTCTGTCTCCTGTCTGGAGTCTCCCCCCTGGGACCTTTGTATCTGTTCTCAGTCTTGGTACTTGTACCCCTTCCTCAGAGTCTGGGGTACGCTGTCACCTTTTTGGACCTTGTCTCCCATCCCAGGTTCAAATTTCCATGGAGTTTTGCTTTGCAACTACAGAACCAAGACTCAGATGGAAAGCCTGAGCTTTCCCACTTCTGGGACTTGGGGAACAGCTATAGAAGGCATGGCTAATGCGCTTGGCCTGGTTCAGCGTCTTTTTGCCAGAGCAACTAACAAGTAGAGAAAGGAAAAAGTCGAGAAAATCTTGGAGGTTGGTGGCAGGTAGAAATGTTACCATGGGAACCAGTTGGGGGTCTTTCAAAAAGGCTCCCACATTTCTCCCTTGCCATGAAGTACCTTGACTCAATTTTAGGGAGGGGAGGAAGTAGGGTCCCTGAGCTCAGCTGGAGTCTCGACGGGGTGAGGCAAATGGTCATGGACACTGTCAGAGTGAAACAGGCCTAGTTCTGGGCCATGGGAGAGGCTAGGCGTTGAATGATGGTTAATAAACTTTATAGACCACCCTGCTTAGAGCTGTGTGGAATGTTCTAGAAGTTTCAATTAGCTTCAACTGTCTCCCCCTCCCCTCAAGTCTGAAATCTGGAACTTTCTTGTACCTGCAGATTCTAGGGAAACATGAAACACTGTTGGTTGTGATCTCAACTGAGAGGCCCAAACTGAGAGGTCCCTGTAAAGTGGCCCATGCTATGATAAACCATTAGTGCTTATACAACCCCAACTCTTTTGACAAAAATAGACCCCTGGCCAAACTTGTGCCTTTTTTTGGTTGAGAAATCACTAACTGCTGCATATTTTAAGCTCTACTTCATCCAGTTTGTATTTCAAAAACAGTAGGATTTCTGTTTTCTACATATGAAACATAATCACATTACATGTTCTTTTAGAAGTACCTATTTCCCCTGTCCTCAAATCATGGCTCACTGAACCAAGCAAGTCTGAACTACAGTGGGCTCAAATAAATCTTTACTATCATTAACTGGCCCCTCACTGCAAAGTTTGTGACCAAGAGTTTATCCCACCTCCAAGATGACAGAGAACTGAATGGTTTCCAAGAGACCAGACTTGACTACCTCTGTGGTTTTTTTTTCCCCTAAACTTGCGATCGTCCTGGCTCAGCCTTTTAGCTGGAATTACACATGCATCGCTATGGCCAGCAGGATTTATCTCAATTTACACAAGAGTCTTATAGCCAAAATCAATATTAATTCCTACACTAGGAATTAGTATTGATGTACCAAAGCACTTCCTGTTTAGACACTAGACTTGGGCCCATATTCTTATCATAGATCTCCACCAAGGGTTTTCATCTCCTACAGCTTTACAGTGTGTGAACACTAGCACCTGTAATCTTACAACTGATGCACTCCTCAGCAGTGGAGAGTCAGAGTAAGGGACTGCATTACCATTGCAGCTTCGAGCAACGATGTGTACCAACAACTCAGCAGGAATGAGAAAAACCAAAACCCAAAGACACTCTTTTGGCTGACTGAATAAGAAACTCAGTCTCCACGTTGGCCAGCAAGCCTCCTGTCCCATCTTTGGGGTTGTCCTGGCTACTGTGATCCCCCAAGGTTTCCCATAGCTTTCAGCAGCCCCATCTCAAGGACTCAGTAGGAGCAGGGCCACATTTAAGGACTCAAGTTCAAAGTCTATTTCAGAGGGGACTGGCTGCATAGTTAACGAGTAGGAAAAGGATGACTAGGTGACTGACACTCTGTCCTGAGATGAGCCTGGCCCTACCAGCATCATGCTATAATCACTATGGATTAAAACTATGGATAATAAGGCATGACCAACCTCAAGAAAGCAAATGATTTCCTCCTCTGTAGTCATGGCACAGAATTGCTTCTGCAAGGTCAGCAGCTCCATAAACAGAAGCAGTCCTTACATTTGTTTTCCCACTGCCATATGCCACCAGGACAAGAGTGGTGTGGGGCAGACCCTGGAGGAAAAACTTCCCGCAGCCCATTCTCACCCTGGCTCAATCTTACAGTGACTTGGGGAAACGCACAGAGAGACAAGTTTCAGGCAACCTCAGAATTTTTCTTTTGGCAGCCATCACTGGCCATATTGCACATCTCAAGGTTACAGAGGAACCCTAGAACAAATGTGGGGCAGGAGCGCCAAATCTTGCTCAGAGCTTTCCAATGAACCCGGAACAAGCGATCAGGAAGCTGCCAACACCAGGAAGACAACCTCAAAAAGCAGGCACCCAAGGGACTCCTGAACACCTTTCGGGCTTCTGGGACTTCATCCTGAGGCCTCTGTGCTGGGCATCACGGACCTCCTTCTGTGGACCAGGGAGGGGTGTGTGTGTGTATGTGTGTGTGTATGTGTGTGCAAGTCATCGGCAGGGCGGGCAGGAGGACAGTGTCCCACCGCACCGCAGCACAGGTAGGCTTTGAAGACCAATAGTACAGCAGTGGCCATATTCTTGGGGCCTACTGGAGAGGCTCCCTGGTCCTTCTCTCTCTGGCTAAATACGAAAGCCAATGGTGATGAAGATGAGGAAGAGCACCAAGATGACAGTGGTGTCGCGAGTCTCGTCCCAGCGAAGGCCCTTCTTGGCCCGTTCCTCCTGCAGCTTGCGCAGAGCCTCCCGCTGGGCCCGTAGGCGCCGCTCACGCTGCAGCTGCATCCCGTAGTGCGCCTGATAGAAAGTGTCGAAGTCAAACAAAGTGCGGCCGGGGCCCGGGGCTGTCCGATCCGCGCCTCGCATCCGAGAGGAGACCGGCCGGGAGCACGGCGGATCAGGAGTGCCTGCGGGCGCTGTAGCCGGTCGGATGCCAGGGCCCCGCAGGTCCTCCTCGCTAAGAAGTCCGCGGTCGTATTTGCGGCGGAGGGTGGTACTGCCCAGCACCATGTACGCCTGGGAGATGCGCGTGAAGCGTTCGGCAGCCTCGGCGCTCCCCGAGTTGCGGTCCGGGTGGTAAAGGAAACACTGCCGATAGTAAGCCGCCTTTATTTGTGCCTGGGTGGCTGTGGAGTGGACGCCGAGCAGGTCATAGAGCGCCGTGCGCGAGTATGAGCCGTCGCCCCTGGAATAAGTCCTCGCTGTTAAGGCCAGACCCCCGGCCGAATTTTGTGGCCATCTCAAGGGTTGCCACAACCACCCCAAAACTAGCAGTGGATCTCTCAGACGACCCGCGGCTGCCATCTTGAAAGTAGGTAGGCGGTGCAAGATGAACTGCCCAATGGGGGTCGCGGATGGTGCGCTGACCCTCTGCCTTGAAGGCCAATCAAAAGGAAGGCGGGGAGTGGGATGTGGCGTGCGTATTGTGAGGCGGTCGCACCTCTGATGACGTAAAAGCTGTGCTCCCGGGATCGCAGGCACTGGCGTGCCGCTTGCTAAGGTTTCAGGATGGCGTGTCGCGGCCGTAGACCCGAACACGGCGGACCTCCGGAACTGGTGAGACGTGTCTTGCGGCACCCTTTTGTCTCATGGCCACTGCTTCTAGATTTTTTTCCTCTACATGTCATTTCTCTTTCTTTCTTCTCAGTTTTACGACCAGAATGAAGCCCGGAAATACGTTCGCAAGTGAGGGGAGCCTTGGATACCATGCGGCGTCTAAGCCGGGGGCGGCAGGCTGCCCCGACTGTAGGCGGTGCTTGGAAAGCTCTTAGAGCTGTGGGGCGGGGGTGAGGAGAGATCTGGGTTGGTGCTGTTTTTGTCACTGTTAAAGCACCTGTTAGGCATTCACTCCTGTGGGCCTTGATAATCTTAGTGTCAGAGTGGGTGTGACATTGCCTGCCTTATCTATGATGTTTTCAGAATTTAGTGTGACAAATTATGGTGTGTGTGTGTGTATGTCTGTGTCTGTGTGTAGTGCTAGGGATTGGACCCACAGCTTTTGCACTGAGCTATATGCCAGCCCCTTTCTAAGATTATTTTTGAGACAAGTCCTGGCTAAATCGCCCAGGTTAGACTCGAATCCTCCTGCCTCAGCTTCCCACAGTGCTGAGATTACACGCATGTGCCACCATGCGCAGCTGACAGCTTGCTTTGAATTTGTGGTAGAATAGGCAGTAGGCAGAGGATAAGAGCAAAGTGTTGCTACCATTGTGGGGAAGGAAATAATATTCATGAAGGCTTGCTTGCTGTGTTCCCATTTACATTATCTCACTAAAATTTTACAACCGTTGACATGGTATTATTTTTTAAAATTTTATAGAGTAGTTAGTGTAACTACAAAATCATCTATCTGACAGATAAAGAGTAGAGCATGATCTTCTGAGTCTGGTTTTTCCTTTTTGATGTACTACTTAGTAGAAAATTCTGTAGATACCCATTTTTCTCCCATCTTTTTAAATTGGCGTCCAAGACAAAGAGAGTCAAAAATTTCTAGCACAGGTATCTTTATGAATAAAATATAGACTTTCTTCTAGCTTTAAACTCTCAGTATTAGGGATTTTGAAAATTCTTTTGTGTGATTCACTTGATCCTGGGAAAGGCCAGATATATATCCATTGATGATTATTATTTTTTTTGCTATGCAGTTTCAACTGGTCTTAAATTCACTTTGTACCCCAGGTCTCAGTCTTGCTGGTCTCCCTGTGTCTCACCTGACTGCTGGGATTATAGGCGTGACTGTTGATTTTGATACTGGTTTTGGTTTGTTTTTTGAGATAGGTCTCACTATATAGTGCAGACTGGCCTTGAACTTGCTTACATATCCCACACTTGCCTTGAACTCATGGAAAACCCCTTGCCTCACCCTCCCAAGTGCTGGTATTACAGATGTGTGCCACCACACCTGGTGTACATCTATTAAAATGTAGCTAGTCTGTTGGACTTTTTATGGAGAACTGCAAAATGTCTTAAAATATTTTACTTATGTGTTACTGGGTATTGAACTATCTGAGCTGCATGCCCAGCCTTTTGTAAATTTTGAGACAGAATCTCAGTTTCTGAATTGCCCAGGTTGAGCTTGGGCTTGTGGCCCTCCTGCCTCAGCCTCTCAGCATAATGAGTATAGTGTGCCATCACTCCTGACTAATTTTTCTCTTTAATTATATTTTAAAATATTTTAGGCACACTGGGTTAAGTGTATTATTTGGTATATGGGGGTTAAGAAAACTTAACCTACCATGTACTTATTTCTTTTTAACTTTGGCTACCTGAAAGTCAGAAGGCTTGCATTGTATTTCTCATGGACAGTACTCTTAAAGGTTTTTGTATTTTAGATGGTTTTTGGGCTGGGGAAGGATATATGCTAGGCACACTATCACTAAGCGGCATCTTCAGCCCATTACAAATTTTTGTGCATTGTTGGTCATTATATGTGAGAGTAACTGTCTTAGTTACTTTATGCTCGTTGCTGAGACAAAATACCTGAAGCCCAAAGTTGGGAAAGAAAAGGTTTATTTCTTACAGTTTTTGGAGGTTTCGGTCCACACTCAGTTGGCTTCAAGACAGGCGGGCATGGCTGGACTGCTGTTCATGGCAGCCGCCAACAGCAAGCTCAAACCAGCAAAAAGAGAAAGACACACCTTCTTCCTGCCATTACATCACATCCTGGTTCCACCCGTATGTGGGTGGAGCCCTGACACCATCAATCCAAGCACTAGACAATGAACCATCACGAATGAACAATGCAAACTCATGAGGCGTGGGGGACACAAACATAAACCATGACAGTAACTGTGGTGGATAACTGTTTCAGAGAATATGTTCCTAAGTAGTAAAGCATCAAAGCCTGATAGGAGTTTTGATAGTCACTGATTGGTCCTTATCTATGATTCATTTCCTTTGACATAAGCTTTACAGCTGCTGTACTTATAATTTCTGTTACAATAAAGTAATGAGTTGCTACATTACATAGATTTTTGGGGTCCCATTTAAATAGTTGTAGTTGAATTTGTTGATCTCAATAAGGATTAAAGGGGTCTGGCCTGGCCTTGGTGACACAGGCCTATAATCCCAGACTCAGGAGACTGAGAAAGGAGGATCTCTTGTGAGTTCAAGGTTAGTCTGGGCTACATAAGTGAGTTTAAGACCAGCCAGCACTTCATAGTGAGACTCTGTCTCCAAACAACAACAAAAGGGTGTGTCAGCAAAGGTTGTGTCTGGCTCGATTGTAGTTTTATCTTCTTTCAGCTTTTGGTATGGGAGAAGTATTAGCCAGGCTCCATCATCACTTAATTGTGTTTCTGCCTTCCTAGCTCACGGATGATTGATGTCCAGAGCAAGATGGCTGAGCGAGCATTGGAGCTCCTCTGTCTGCCCGAGGGACAGTCCTGTTACCTGTTGGATATTGGGTGAGCGCCTGAGGCCTGGTTCTCATCATCTTGGTGGTGGTGGAGAGCTTGCTGCTCAACTTTGTAAGTTTCTGATTATGTCTTCCAGGTGTGGTACTGGGCTGAGTGGAGATTACCTCACAGAGGAAGGGCACTGTTGGGTGGGCATAGATATCAGTCCTGCCATGCTAGGTGAGTGTGTCCTGTTTTATCAGCAGAGTCAACTACCCTCATGAGTATAAGCTGCCATTTTTTTTTTTTTTAAACCAGAAAGCTAGTTGAGGACTTCACATTCACTAGGCAGGCATTGTACCACTGAGCTGTGTCCCTGTCCCTAAGCTGCCATATTTATTGTCTCCTTGTTTCATGTCCTTTTTCCAATGTAGATGCCGCCTTGGACCGAGAAACTGAGGGAGACCTTCTTCTGGGGGACATGGGCCAGGGTATTCCTTTTAGACCTGGTTCCTTTGATGGTTGTATTAGGTGAGAATCTTCTCTTCCAGCTTTTAATCTTGTAGGCCAGTGCCTTCCAAGCCTGGCCATCTAGCTGAGTCATACAGGATACCTAAAGTGTATGTCTTCTGGGGTTATCAAATAAATAAGTTCAAAGGAGTACCCCCTTCCCTTTTATTTCCTTTTGTATTCCAAAACTGTCTACTGCTGTGATCAACTTGAGGGACTTGTATATGCTAGGGGTGGAGTTAGGGTGCAGCCTTTGAGCGTCTAGGAGTCCTTTTGTGGCCCAACCATTGTTTAGAGGAGTCCCTACAGTGGCCCTCTTGGGTTAGCTGCCACTGTCTTGTGGGTCCCAATAGCCATCTGGTTTTCAGCTTTTCAGACAGCTCTAGTGGAGAATGGATGGGACTTCTGATCTCTTCTTTGGCTTCAGGGCCTTACTTAGTTGTTGGGGTCACATTTTGAAGACCTTAGCAGACTGAAATTACTGCTAAGAACCTGAAGTTTTCTTCCTGCCAAGTTCTGTCTGGCATTTGGAGTAGTGTTCTGTTACTGGGGGTGGATGTAAGGAATAGAAAGATAAAATTGTTCTTTGGAAAGTTCTTGGGTGATCCTCGGTTGAGAGCTAAAATCCGGTGAGGAGTAAATAGTTAGATGTGGAGATTTTTATATGAGTAGGAGTAAGATTGAGGTAAAGGTGCATTTCAAAGCAGCAGCTGCATTTTTGTAATTAGAGGAGGTTTCCAAAACAGCAAAAACAAACAAACAAAGGCCAGCAATATAAATTTGAAGAGTGAATAGTCCTGTGTGTGCTGAGAATTGGAGCCTTGTGCATGATGAGTATGCTACCACTAAGCTGCACCTCCAGTTCATTTCTTCCTACTTTTGAAAATGGTATGGCAAGCTTTTTGTTGTTGTTAATTTGCTCTAGCCTGTAATCCCAGCACTTAGAAGGCTTAGGCAGAAGGATTGCCACAAGTTTGAGGCTAGCCTTCGCACCATAGTGAGATCCTGTCTTTAAAAAAAAAAAAAAAAAGTTGCTCTACCATAGGCCCTTATCTAAGGTGCAGTGGAGTATGAGGGAGGAGAACACCGGCCGTGTTGGTAGGTTTGAAATCTTTTGTTATAAACTTTCTCATTTGTGTTTCCTGATGCCCACATGCATACACTTTAGTTAAGTATATACCTAGAAATAGAATTGCTGGGTCCTGAGCATGTGACTCATGTCTATAATCTTAGCACTTGGGAGGCTGAGGCAGGAGGATTGTTGGCAAGTTCGAGACCAGCCTGGGCTATAAAGTGAGCTCAAGGCCAGCCTGAACTGCATAGCAAGACCCTGTCTCAGAATGAAAGAAAAAGAAAAAAAATTGCTGGGCTAGAGGAGTGTGTTTGTTTTCCAAAGGGTTTTTAAACAATTTATAACATCACTAACAATGTATAAATGGTTTAAGTTCTTCCACATCCTTGGCTAGCCATGCCTGCATTTAAGGTTATCTATGGGGGTTAGAAATGTGGTTTAGAGCCAGGGGTGGTGGCTCACGGCTGTAATCCCAGCATTTGGGAGGCTGAGGTGGGAGGATCATTGCAAGTTCGACCAGCCTGGGCTGCAAAGTGAGCTCAAGGCCAGCCTGAACTGCGTAGCGAGACCCCGTCTCAAAAAAAGACAAAAACTAAAAAAAAGAAATGTGGCTTGGTACTGAGGTACAAAGATAGTTAAGTACTTGTATTGTTTGGTTGACTTTGCAGGACTGAAGCCAGTAGTCTAAGCACTTATTGGGAAGATGACAGTATGCAATATGACAAATATGTTGGATTTCCTTCTGTCTTTGTTTTTGAAATCCAGTATTCTCACTGTTTTGTTTTGTTCTGGTTTATTTTTGTTTTATTCAGTACTCTATTTTGATGGGTTATATTCTGTTTTGTTCAATTGTACTATGTATGAGGGAATGGACAGTTATTGTGAAAATTGCAAGATATATTATGGTAGCCACTGTTGATGACCTGTTGCCCTGTTTTGAGGTTCTATACCACTTTCATTGCTTTGTTTTGATTGGCTGTATTCTGTTTTGTATTGTTGGGTTTTATTCTACTTAAAATAAAATATAATAATAAAATAGAAATGTGGCTTGGTAGTAGAACATTTGTTAGCATATCAAAGGCCCTGGGTTTGATCCCAGCCCTACAAATGAAAAAAAAAAAAAGATTATGATTGGTTTATGAGAGTACCATAAGACAGGCCTGGCTACCCAACACCAAGTCTCATGCAGGCTGTGTGTGAGGCATCATGGGCCCCCGGAGCTGTGAGGGGCAGCAATGCACACAGGATTGCGCTGAGAGTGAGAGGGACTGGGTAACATCTGTGGCCAGGGATAGGCTGCTTAGTGAGAGGATGATGTGAGCAGAGGCACATACACAGATGTGAAAGGTATTTGGGAGTTCACAGGGATGTGTGTGAAACTTCATAGGAGATGAGATGGTTTTTGTTTTGTTTTTTGAGACAGACTGGCCTTGAACTTATATGTAGCCCAAGCTGGCCTCAAATTCATGGCAGTCCTCCTGCCTCAGCCTCCCTAGGGCTGCAATTACAGGTGTGTGTGCCACCAAGTCTGGCGGCTGAGGCTTTCAGCAGGGCAGTAGGTGTTGAGGCAGTGGGGAGAAGCAGAGGCTGGGGGAGGCAGAGTGTGGGCTTCTGTGGCTCTGTGCTCTTGGCAGTGAGGCAGGATCAGCAGGGAGGATGGCTCCACACCAACCCTTCGCAGGTACAGTAGAAGGACCCGCCTAGGAGGCAGTGAGTGGCAGTCAAGTGTACTTCCTATGGTTGGGCAAGGGAAGGTGGCGGGTGGGCAGAGATGATCTTGACACACGGAGGTCCCTGCATTGGCTGGAGCAGAAAGTGAATGCTGCCCCTCTGCACAGCCTCATGAATCTGTGCATGGGAGGTGGCCAGGGAGGACCAGGACTTCCTAAGAGCAGTGGACACAAGATCCTTGTGGGTGATGGCAGAGTCCTGGAGAGGTAGGAGGGTGGGAAGAGGAAGGGATTGGACCCCTACTGACTGTTTCCCTTCCTTTCCAGCATCTCTGCCGTGCAGTGGCTCTGTAATGCTAACAAGAAGTCTGACATCCCTGCCAAGCGCCTGTATTGCTTTTTTTCTTCTCTGTATTCTGCTCTTGTGAGTATGAGATCTGCCTCCCATCTGGGCTGGCTATCTGTCCTTGCCTTGCCCTGCAGTCGAGTGAGGAAGTTGTGGGGTCCCATGACAGGAAAGCCACTCAGACAGGGCCACATTGGGTAGCAGAACCTCCTTGTGGTGATTTCTGTCTGGCCCTGAGCCTGAACAAAAGGCCAAACTTATTGGGCTGATGTTTTATCAAACCCAAAGATAGTGATGTCAGCGTCTGAGACCAACTGACTGATTTGGATTAGGCGATTCCTATTGACCACCATTCCTGGGTTCTCTCTGCTGCATTTTATTGATTGGTTCACTGATACTGGGGATTGAACCCAGGGCCTTCACAATTTAGAGACGAGGCCTCACTGAGTTGCCAAAGCTGGGCATTTGTTTTTTGTTTTTTGTTTTTGGTTCTGGGAATTGAACTTATGACCTCATGCTTGCCAGGCAGGCACTTATGCCACTGAGCTAAATCCCTGGCCCCAAGGTTGGGCATTTTAATAAGAGGTTGGTTTGGGGTTACGAACCACAGCAAATGAGGGTGGGGATGTCTTGTCCTACACAGAGGACCCTTTCAGAGTATGCACATCTTATCTTTTTGGTGGAGCTGGTGTGCATTTCAGTTGGTTACTAAGAGCAGATAGGCTGAGTTTCTTTTACACCTCTGAAGACCCGCCTGAGTTTACCTCCTCAGGCTGCCCCACGGCACCCCAGCTGTCCTAAGTGGTGTCGCCTGTGGTCTCATACATGTCATGGTCTTTCCCCATGTGTGCTGGGGTTCATCTTGAAGTTCTCTTCATTGCCAAAATTTTCTTCCTTCGTGTGTTCAAGTAGCCATTGAGGTGTCCTAGACCACAGGAGAACGCAGCAGTGTCTGCCAGAGGGCTCTACCTCATCCCTGTTTGTCATTCTTCCTGGTGCTTAGTTGCCTCCTCCACCAAAGCTGAGCAGCAGCGGTTAGTTGAGGGTGCTGATGTCTGCAGCCCCGAGAGCAGCGACTTGACATAATGGGAGCTCTGGATATGTATAGTGAGCAAGGCGGGAAGAGGGAATCCATGAAGTGGTAACGTTTGTGTTGCTTGCAGGTCCGTGGGGCCCGGGCTGTCCTGCAGCTGTATCCGGAGAACTCGGAGCAGGTGAGCCCTTGGCTGCTAGGGGGCAGGAACCGGGGTGGCCCAGAGCCGGTGGGCTTTGTACTCATCACTGAGCTGTCCTCTTAGTGTTGGAGGTGACAAAACAAACTCGTGCTGATGGGGGGGGCTAGGAATGAGCACCCTGGAGGGTCAGGGACCCATAATAGCACATTTGATGACCTCCTTCCTGTCCTGAGGGCTGCTGTCTGGGACATGGTGAGTATCTGACAGGCAAGATAGTGTCACAGGTAGCATGGCAGAATTTACTCATTTCCATGCCCAGATATGTAAATATTGGGGGTGGGGTCTGAAGAGACAGTGGTGGAGGAGGGGACACCAGAGTAGGAGTTGGGAAAGATGAATTGGAAATTAGAAGTACAGACTCAGGGGCTGGGGATTTAGCTCAGCGGCATAAGTGCCTGCCTTGCAAGCAGGCAGTCGTGAGTTCGATCCCTGGTACCAATAAAAAGGAAAAAGACAAAAAAAAAAAAAAAAAGAAGTACAGACTCAGATAGGTGATGAGCTGGCCCTGACCACTAACATAAACGCATGGCTCCCAGTTGGTGGCCATTCACTTCTGAGAGTGGGGCTGGATCTCTGAGCTGAGTTTGGGGAGGAATGCTTTGTTCTGTAATTCCCCCAAGGGAAATGTGGCATGACTGACTGGCCCATGCTCTGCTTTGTGGTTTCTGAGGACTAAAAGACTTTCTGTCACCAGGTAGGGTACCGAGGGGGTGGTGGTGGTGAAAGTGAAGGTTCTATACCTCCAGCCTGACATCCATCCTTCTGCCCACAGTTGGAGCTCATCACAACCCAGGCCACAAGGGCTGGCTTCACAGGCGGCGTGGTGGTGGATTACCCCAACAGTGCCAAAGCGAAGAAGTGAGGGTGGGGCCTGGGGTGGCACCAAGATGGTACTAGGGTGGGTCACCAGGCTGAGCAGGAGGTGGAGGGGTGAGTCCTTGCGAGCCAAGCCTTACCTGGGTTTTCTTGTTCCAGGTTCTACCTCTGTCTGTTCTCTGGGCCTTCGGCCTCTCTGCCCAAGGTGAGGGATCCTGGTCTGTAGGCCTGGAAAATGTGCCTGGGAGAATGCTGGTGGCCAGGGCACCTGAGCCAGGAGGTAGAACTGCCCTGCAGACCCAGGAGAGGGATCTTAGGCTCCCTGTGAGTCCTCGCCTGATGCCTGCTGGAGGGGCCGCAGCCTGGACACATAGCTGCTGAGTGGGCAGATAGGATAAGAGCTCCAGAGGGATCAGAGACCATTGTGATTTCCTGCAGGGCCTGAGTGCAAGTGAGGATGGAGAGGAGGCCACGGAGTCCAAGTTCACCAAGGCCAGGTAAAGCCGCTTTTGTTCTTTTTTTGTTTTTTTTTTTCTGTAGTACCGGGGATTAAACTCCCGACCTCGTACTTGCTAGGCAGGTGCTTATGCCACTGAGCTAAAGCCCCAGCCCCTAAGGCTTCCTCTCATCCTGTCTGGCTTCCGCCTCTCAGCACTTTTGAATGCTGCCAGCTCGGCTTGTGTGTCTCTCTGCTTCCCCAGGCCTCAGGTGGCGCCACTTGTATGGTGGCAAGACGGGCCTTGGCTGCTCCTGTGAGCCTGTGCTTGCCCCTCCCTGTGCTGCACTCAGCCGGCTGTCCGTTCCTCCTCCAACCTCGTCCTGTGCCCTTCCCTCTGCCTCCTTCCCTTGCATCCCAAAGCCCAGAGCAACCCTTGGACCCCCTGTGATGGGCTTTCTGGGCAGCGGAGTCCTTATGCCTACCACCTCCTGCTTCCTCTCTACTCCTCATTCAGTTTGTCTCATCACAAATGGTTCCCATCAAGCCCACGGCTTCATCTTGCCAAGTCACCTCACTTGCTCTGCTTTCCGTCCCTGCTGAGCTGACCCGACCCGCCCCGCCAGCTCAGATGCCGGCTTTAAGATGGCACCTGTGCCTTCCTGATGCTCCCTCCTCCCCAGCCCGCCGCTGGCACGCTCTGCCTCCCTTGCTGCCTCTTCCCTTACCTTACTCTGTCTGCACTCCTTTAAATGCCAACTGAGACAGTCCACTAATACATTTTTTTTCTTTTTTTGTGGTACTGGGGATTGAACACAGGGCCTGTACATTAAACTACATCCCCAGGCCTTTTACATTTTATTTATTTAATTTTAGTTTTTTCAAGACATTGTCTTGGTGCACAGTTTGGGTTGACCTTAAACTCACTGTGTGGCTCAGGGTGGCCTCAAGCTCACGGTGATGATGTTCCAGCCTCAGCTTTCAGAGTGCTGAGATTACAGGCATTTGCCACTATGCCCAACTTGATTTTTAGGGTTTCATGAAGTCACTAGGTTGCCTAGGCTGGGTTTGAACTTGGGATCCTCTTGCTTCAGCCTCCCAGATTGCAGATTGGGATCACAGGTGTGTACCCAGACAGCCAGCGGCCCAAACGTCACATCTGACTGGGGATGTAGCTCAGTGGCACAGTGCTTACCTGGCAAGCACAAAGCGCTAAGTTCAATTCCCGGTACCTAAAAATGAAAAAGATAGAAAAGAGAACAAACCAGCCTGGGCTACAAAGTGAGCTCAAGGCCATCCTGAACTGCATAGTGAGACCCCATCTCAATAAAAAGACCAAAAGAAAAAAAAAAGAGAGAGAGAGAGAACAAAAACCCAGGTGTCACAGCGTTAGTTCCAACTCCACTCTGATCTCCCAACTGCCACCTCAGTGTCCACACCTGGCTTGCCCTGGATATCTCAAGCCAAGCTGAGCTCTTGGCTCTGACTTTCCAGGCTTCCTCTCATCCTGTCTGGCCTCCGCCTCTCAGCCAGCTGCCCTGCCGGCCTGTCCTGCCGGCCCTTCCTCAGTATGTGTCCCCAGTCTTAGCCTCCCGCTTCCACTGTGCTCCTATCGCCACCCTTGCCTGCATCACTGCGTAGCTGTCTGTGAGGCTCCCTGCTGGCCGTCTTCGCCTCTTTTCAGTTCATTTTCCACACAGCAGCAAGACTGTCCTGTTCTTCTCTTTCTTCCTAAAATGTAGATCATGTCTCGTCACTGTCACTTGTCTGCCCAGTATCTGCAGCTGCAGTGCCCTTCCCCATAGTGTCTGCCCCTCACTGTTCCAAATCATGTTTTTATTTATGGGTCACTATGTATGTGCCCAGCTACAGTGATACCTTAGTGGCCCTGGTGTCGCTGACACCAGGAAGTCTTTTTAGGAAAGAGGGAGGTTAGTTCTTTGTCCTACTTGATGTGACTGATGGGTGGTAAGACTTCACACATCAAGAGGAAAAGCGGCCAGAAAAGAATGAGTTGGGACAGTTTCTCAGTGCACAAGTCCTGAGTGTTCCTGTCCCCACCCAGGCTTATGTCACTGACCCTTGCCCTCCATGGCTGTTTTTGTCTTCCCCGGCCACCCCGTTGGGGAGCCAGAGCCTCTTGCAGATGTTTGTGCTCTGAGGTGCCCATCCTCCACTTTGTGGAAAAGGAGGGGTTCGCCCCCTTTATGCATCTTACGACCCTCTGTGCTCAGCCAGTGTGTGCGGACTGCGTGTCCTGACCATGTGTGCTGACTGTGGCAGGTCAGTCCCCACCTGCTGAGGAAAGGGACGGCACTGGCCTGGTTGGCAGTGTGCTGGGTCCTCCAGTGGGTGGACAGAAGTGGCGAGGTGGGGAGTGGATAGCCAGGGGCTTCTCCTCTTGCTGTCCCTTCTGTCCATCAAATTCCAGACAATTTTAAATAAACAGGGAGATGAAGAACACATTTTAAACCTGTGCCTACCTGAGCTCTTGTCTGCATTTTTTTTTTCGCTTTATTTCCCTCATCCTTGCTGCTCCTGCCCCTGAGCTGCTCCCTTGAGGGCTGGGTGCACAGTGCTGCTGACTACCATCCCTACCTCCTTTGCTCCTGGATCCTCACCTGCTCCCTTTGCCTCCCTGATGCCTTTGCCTGCTCTCACTGGCTCATACCCTGTCCTGTTTCACCACTCTGCCCCATGTTTGTGCTTCCTGTGTGACAGTCCTGCGACGGTAGCTGCCTTTGCTGTGGCCTAGCAGGCCCCATTATCCAGTGGCACTCATAAGTGTGCCCGCATTTGTTTCTCTGCACTGTCCCCAGAGCCTTGTGGCCTTTCCAGTCCTTGGTCTTCTTTTCCTTTTCCCTACTCATGTGGCCCTCCAAGTTTCCCCTTCTCTAGACACCCTTAAGTCTAGATGATGTCTCATCATGTTAGGATGAATTTCCCAGAGTCCCTAGAGGGAGCAGAGCCCTTGCTGAAGTCCTGCCCTCTCTAGGTTCTCTTCTCCCAGCGATCCCCTTGGATCCTCCACAGTGCCAGCTTCTCCTGGATTCCAGCCCTTTCCCATAGTGCCAGCCCTTCTGGGTTTGTCCTGGTTGCCTGTCACAGCCCTTGGGCCTCTGTGCAGTTACGAGCCAAGAAGGATGGGGCTGCTTGCTGAGCACCAAGGCCAGGCCTGCAGGAGCTCAGCTGGGGGTTACCTGTGCTGAGCACCCTGTGAGCTAGGTGGGGAGCAGCGTGCTTGCCAGGTGGCACTGCAGCTTGTGGGAGCCTCTTCTCAGGCCTCTTGCCCCTCAGGCTGCTGGGGAGCCCACTGCTCCTCAGCCAGGGCTGGAGGCCAAGAGCAGCACCGGAGGAGCATCGTCAGCGCTGCCATGAGTGGGCAGCCTTGTTTTCCTGCCTCTGACAAGTGTGGTGGTTGGGAGCTGGGCTGCGGCAGGCACGCTGAGTCCCAAGCTGGCCTGAGCCTCGATGGGGTCCCTGCCTCCTGGGGCCCTGCTCCTGGCCTAGTCTGCCCCCAAGTAGGCTCTACCACAGGAGGAGGCTTGTGGGCTGTGAGGTAGGTGAGGGGCTGTACACCCCACCCTCCTGCCACACCCAGTGCCTCTGGCCCCAGAGCCTCACAGGAAGAGGGACTGTTGTGGAAGGGAAGGTGAAACAATGGAAAGAAGGGGCCTCTGCAGCCTCTCACCACAGAAGGAAGCTCACTTCCCTGCCACAGGGATGAAGGGGTCCCCCTGTGGGCAGCAGGCTGGTCATTGCAGCCTTGTGTTGACACAGGGTTGTGCACGGGCTTGCGCGGCGGGGCATGCTGAAGAAGAGCCGTGAGTGGGTGCTGGAGAAGAAGGCACGCCGGCGGCGGCAGGGCAAGTGAGTACTGGTGGGACAGGCCGCCAGGGAGCCCAGTGCTGTGGCACTAAGGACCACCTGCCCACAGAGGGCATGGCGCGTGTCCCACTCTGAGCCATTGCTGTTCTGTCTTGGTGCAGGGAAGTCCGACCTGACACCCAGTATACTGGCCGCAAGCGCAGGCCCCGCTTCTGAGCCCTGAGCCTGCCTCCACCACCTTTTCTGGAGACTGACAACATGGTGTTCTAGAAGAGTCCTGCATTTACAGGAATTGTGGGTTTTTGCTTTTTTTTGGTACTGAGGAGCAAACTCATTACTTCACACTTGCTAGGCAGGCACTTTTGCTGTTGAGCTATATCCCCGGCCCAATATAGGAATATTTTTTCTAAAAATCTTTACAAGAGTTTGTTGTTTTATTCTAAAATCAAAACAGAAACCATGTTCTGAAGAACTTGTGTGACTTCGGCATCTCCCAGCCCCATGGTCCTATCTCACTGTGTTGGGGTCTCATCTCGTTGCGTTGGGGCCACTGTGACTGGCAGCCAAAATCGGGTTTAGGGGACCGAGATGAAGAAAGCACCCTTTTTAACCAGAGGTGGGCACTGGAGCACCTGAGACTATGAGCTGGGCAGGGACATTAGACTCCAGGCGGGATCTTCTGTCAAGAGTGGCTGCCTTGGGGTGAGGCTCTGCAGGCTGGCGTGGCTACTGTCCACTGAGGCAATGGAAGGCCTGTGGGCACCAGGCTAGGATCCCTGTCTGCGCCCCCGTGTCCCACCCAAGCGCTAGGGCTGGGACACCGCAGTCAGACATGTACAAATGTTTATTCTACATAAAAATTTCACAAAATGGGCAGCTGGTTGTACCAAGACCTTTGGTGAGGGATGGGGGAGAAGGCAGCAAGGACAGTGGTCAAAGTCACTGGGCAGGAGCGAAGCCAAGGGAAGGTGGGGCGCAGACACGGCCCCGCCCCCTGCTGCATGCGCCTGCGTGCACCTCCCAGCTGTCCACGAAGGGGCGTGGTGGGGCGCAACGCCCCGGAAGGCTGGCTGCTGAATACTGCATCGCGAAGAGACAGCTGACACCACGTGGCACGTCAATGGGGGACCGCAGGGCAGGATGAGACTGCAGGCCTGAGTGACATCTGAATTCCCGGAGAGGGGGACTGCTGTCCTGAACATGCAACACTGGCTTTCAAACCTGACAGGCCTTTGGGGACCGCAGCTGCTCTGCCTCCACTCGGAGAGCACAGGCAACAGCCCAGCAGGTGCTTCCTGGGGCTTCAGGATGCCGGGAGGGAGGCTGAGGCAGGACCCGCTGGCTTTGCCCCAGGCAGGGTAGTGAGCCTCCTGGCAGTGGTCAGCGAAATAGAGGCTTAGTGCTGGGTTGTCCCTCAGGGCCACCCCTCCCCAACCTGAAAAGCAGCACCATGTGGCCAGCTGGTCCCCACCCTTCGGGGCTCGGCTCTGGGGGAACAGCTGAGGAGGCCAGGAGGCAGGGTGGATGGGCAGGACAGGTGGGGGCAAGGCCAGACTCCAGAAGGAGGCTGGAGCCCAGGGGAGAGTGGACCCCAAGTGAGAGGGTGGGACAGCCTGGGCCAGGGCCCAAGACTTTGCTGCAGGGACCCGTCCCCAGCCCTGCTGCACTGCACCTCTGTACAGACACACACTGTCACAGATCATGCACACGACACGGGTCAGGGCAGGGTGGGGACAGGGCCCTGGGGGAGAGAGGGGCAGGGCAGGTAGGAGTGAGGATGTCCGAGCCAGAAGGGGGAGGGCAGTCCAGCCAGGGGCCTTGGTAGGGTGGCCATCCGGACAGAAATGGCAGGCGGGGCTCTATCCAAAGATGCCTCCAATGGTGGAAGCGATGACAATGCCCAGGATCACACAGCAGATGATGATCATGATTTTCTTCTGCAACACAGAAGTAGAGGCCTCAGCAGGCAGCTGGATAGGGCTGTCCTGCAGGCTGAGGGCTCACTGGGGCCTCAGGGTGGGCAGGTGACAACCTCACAGTAAAGGCTCTGGTCAGCTTCCAGAGTGGGGACAGACAGAAAGGGTTGGGTTGAGTGATGGGCTTAGGTCCTGGCAGGTGCTGGGTTGCTGGGGTGTGGCTCAGGCCGAGCTGGTGACTGACCCTGCGTGCCTTGCTCTGGTACTTGACAGCCTTCTTGGTATCAGACACGGCCCGCTCCACATAGTCCACTGCATGCTCCACGTTGTACTCAATCCTGTCAATCATCTCCCCCTGCAGGGTCAGGGGTGCTCGAGCTCCAGAGGGCTCCCTCTTGGACGCTGGGAGGGGGCTCAGAGCAAGGCCTCAGGGAAGCACCCTGAAGCAGAGAGAGGCAGGAGGTGAGGAGACTGGCCTGCCCTGGCAGACCCTGGCCAGGACATGGAAGGCTCAGGGGCAGCCCCCCTCTCCCTGCAGAGCAGCTATCCAAGGGGTGGAGCTGACCATGCAGTTTCAGCCAAAGGGGGAGCCATGCAGACAGTGCTCAGCCCTGGGCCTGGTGCCAGGCCAAGAGAGAGGCAGGAATAGGTAGGCTGGACTCTGAGCCCACCCTGGCTAGGCTGCCATGCTGAGCCCTCCCAAACATCTTAAGATCTCTGGCAGCCCCAGAACTCCCTCGGGCACTGTGATCTGGTCCTATGGTCCTCCCAGTGACACTGACCCCAAGATCCCCAGCAATAGTGGGACTCCCTCTGAAGGCATCTGTGTCACCACAGTGTGTCCTGCTAGGACACAGCAGCAGCTTCTTTGTAGCCTTCCTACCTCCTAAGCATACATTACTCCCGTGCTTAAAATCCCTCAGTCAAGCTGGGCATGGTGGCACATGCCTATAATGCCAGGACTCAGGAGGCTAAGGCAGGAGGGTCTGAATTCTGAGGTTAGCGAATTCAAGGCCATCCTGGGCTACATAGTGCAACCTGGTCTCAAGAAACCAAAATATAAAACAAAACAAAACTTAATCAAGAAGAACCTCCAGACACTTTCTACCAAGAGAGCATGGGAAACAAACCTCTGCCCCTCTCCCCCAAAGCCCAAGTAAAAGTAGATAGAGGCTTTGGAGGCCAAAAGGTGTACACTGCCACAGAAACACCCACCTCACCCAGACTGCAGAGGCCCAGGCACTGTGGTTCTGGAGGCAGCGTGATACCCTCGGGAGAGCACTCCTAGGAGTTCCAAGCTCCCTAGCCATGGCGCTGGTCATGTTGAAACAGATGATGACAACACATTTGTGTTCACTGTGGGTGTCAAGGTAACAAGCACCAGGCAAACAGGTGGTGAAGCTCTGACACCAGTGTGACGAGGTCATCATGCCCTGACAGGGAGATGGCCCATGCCTGGTTTTGTCACTTTGGATTTTGCCAGCAAAACTAAGATAAATTAGGACTGGGGATATAATTCAGTGGCACTCTGCCTCCCTGGTCATGAGTTCAATTCCTGGTATCAAAAAACAAAGCAAGGGGCTGGGGATTTAGCTCAGCGGCATACACGCCTGCCTTGTAAGTGCGTGGTCGTGAGTTCAATCCCTGGTACTGGTAAAAAAAAATAAAAAAAGTATGACATTCAGACAGCAAAAGTAAAATTAGGGTCAGTTAAACTGAGTCTATGTGGCTAGTTCAAAATATATACCTTTTACCACTTAAAAAAATAAACAGGGGCTGGGGATTTAGCTCAGCGGCATAAGCACCTGCCTTGAAAGCAGGCAGTCGTGAGTTCAATCCCTGGTACCAATGAAAAGGAAAAAGACAAAAATAAATAAATAAATAAAAAATAAACTGTACTGGTACCCATTCTCTGGGAGGCTGAGGCAGGGAGATTCCAAGTTCAAGCCGAGCCCAGGCAACTTAGTGACTTAATGAGAACTTGTCTCAAAAAGGTTAAGATGTTGCTTAGTGCAAAGGACCTTGGCCTCAACCCCAATCCCCCTCTTCCTAAAAATGCCTCCAGGTCCCCCAAGTGCCACCACCAGGGCCTCATCTACTTTGCTTCCTCCTGTACCTCCATTCCAACCTATCCCTGCATTCTAGCACACAGACCTCCTTCCTCTTTGCACACAAGTCTAGCTCTCTCCCCGAAACATCTTTCCGGCAGCCTCCTTTCACCTCTCCTGAAAGCTGTGCAAATGCATCCTCAGAGAAGGCTTTCCCTGATTTCCATGCAGCGTGCCAGCCGAGTCACTATTGCCATGTCATGCAGAGTGGGGCCCTTACACGGGAAGCACTGACATTGTCTCATGAGACGTGAACATCCGGGGCCTCTACCTGAACCAGCAGCCTCAGAAACAGGATGCTGGAAACTTATAATAAGCCTTTCAGGTGACTTGGGGTCTTGCAAATCCAAGACCCATCAGTCACGCTGCTACCTAATGTCTCCTGAGCACTTGGCACCACTGGAGAACATACATTTGCTCTTCACTGATGCTGCCCTTTCACCAACAGATATTAGCTCCCAGAAGCAGCCCCTAGCTGACCTGCCAGCTACTGTAACCCCAGTCCTAGATAAGCAACCAGTCCCAGTAGCACTAGATAAAGACAGGACGGTGGGGAGCATGCAGGGCCTGGTGTCCTGGAGGGCCAAGCGGAGCAATGCAGAGGGTCCTGCAGGGGCCCAGCAGTGCTTCCCACAGCAGATGTTGGTTACCTGAGTGCTTGGTCCCTCCCAGCAGTGCAGCGTGTTGGGCAGAAACACCAAGGTTAGCATAGCCCCAGGTGCTGCTGTGGGTGGGTGGGGGCATTGGTGACCTGGGCACCCACCTGGCTCTCAACCAGCATGGCCATATCCATGAACATATCATGCAGCTCACGGATGCTGTTCTCCAGCTTGATGATCTCACTGTGTCGGGTCTCAATCTCACTCAGAGCCTGCTTCGAGATGCTGGAGTCCATGATGATCTAGGGGCAGGGAACAGGAGCTGAAACCCAGAGGCTGCCCAGGGTTAGGGGAGTAGGGGACCAGGACAGGGAGGATGGGAGGTTGAAGAGGAAGGCAGCTAGGTTGGGGAGGGGGTTTCCAGAAATGGAATGGAGGCTCCCTCTTAACTGTAGTGTTCCCATCTTATTAGCTGCCACCTAACCTCTCTACAGGGTTGATAATGCCCTCTCCTGTGATCCCATCAGAGCTCAGTGTGTGACAGGTCTTAGCAGCAGGTTGGAGAGCCCCAGGTGACTGCCCCAAGGGCCCAGGGCCTGCCACTCCCTCTCCTGCATGAATCTGGCCTCCTCCAAGCCTGCCTCCAGCGCCTGTGTGCCACCTTCAGGGGGCTGCCCCCACAGGATGGAACCTCACTAATCATTGGCCAGTGTCCTCCAGGAAGGGATAAAGGTCCTGTGGGTGATGGGAGAATCCCCCAGCCATTAGCAGATGATCAGGGACAGCAAGG